TAAAATAAAATAAAAATACAGTAAACTAAGTACTTTAAGGTTTCAGGCCAATCATAACTCCCTCCACTGAGGGAGAGTCCTTCAGGTCAGACATGTGTCTGAGAAGGACGACCTGGACAAAGATGATTTGCTAACGGTAACAGGCTAACTTTTGGCCGTAGAGACATTCACCAAGAAAGAACACCATTCCAGTTAGCATCTTTAATTAGTTATGTTATGCCAAGAGATTCAGGGAGCTGTAATTAAAAAGACTAGACTTTGAGGACGGACTCAGTCCTTCAACTTGATTGGCCAGGCTATGATCCAGATCTGTGACACAGATGTTGATCACTGAGTTTTTATTATTTATTTAAGGTTTAATGATGACGTACTAATTAATTTTTCTTATTACAATATTATGCAGCATATAGAGAGGGAACAATACGTGGGCCTCCAAAATGACAACTGCAGAAATGTACAGTAGTACATGCGTCATGGTGCCCTCTAGCGGTGCTTTGCGTCGAAATTCAAAATCAGTTGTTGACAGGCAAAAACCAAAGCGATTAAATTGATTGATTAATTATTTAATTTAATTTAAATTAATATTGAAACATCAATCACGGTGTTGACTGACCTCTGACCTCTCCTGCAGCCTTGATCTTCATCAGCACGTTCTCCACCGCGGTCTCGTTAACACCTGTGGGTGTCACCAGACGTACGGGAAGCCCCCTGTTCCTCAGGGCCGTGGCTACTCTCCCGGCAGTGCCCACCCACATGTCCTCGTTAGACGAGACCACGGCCACGCTGGCCCAGCTGAACTGCTTCAGCACCGCGTACAGCACGTCGACGGAAAACGGAACTGTCCTGGCGAAAGTCGGGTATCCCATGGCTCGGTCCAGCTCGTAGCTAAGACACCCGAACGAGAACAGGGCCTTGTCCCAGTTCTTGGCCAGCAGAGAAGCCGCAACGCAGTACACGGGGTTGGTGGGGCCCAGAATTGCATCCGACATTTGCTCATAGGAAACGAAGGCATTTAGAGCTTTGGAAGTCTCACACGGTTCCTGCAGGATGACAAAGTCCATCCGGAGTCCCAGATCCAGGTTCGGGTCTCCGCTAATTCGACTCAAAGCGAGTTTGGCGGCTGCAGCTGGTTGAGCCCTGGAGTACACGGGGTCGCAGTTCCAAGGCCCCAGGACCCCTACTTTGAAGACTAGACATCGGACACAGCAGGGGTACGTCAAGACCCCGAGCAGTACCCAGAATATGACGTTATGAAATGGCACGGTGGTCGTAGTTGGTCTACTTTTCACGACAGGAACACACGCGTGGTGGGAGTCCCAAAGCGCTCCTCTGAAGTTAGGAGACGTGTGTCGCATCGTCCTCCCGGGTTGTCCAGTGCAGTTTTTAATTCAGTTTCCCAGGTGGCACCTGAACACAACACACAAAGATGTTGAATTTATTTCCACAGTGATGAATGATGATTCACCCGAAGTCAACGACTTACTCCTTTGAGGTCTCGGGACAGTTTCCAGACCCGCTGAGTCTGGCGCTCGTCACGTCACCGACTGGATCCTTAATTAATAACGACTCCCTCATGTTGAGCACCCATTCCACGGGTCCACCGCCGATGCCCAGGCTAAGATACAGAAACTCTGTGTACGACGTGACAAAGGCAGCGCTCGGTCTCTGCGTCTGTCTGTCACGTCTGGAGACAACTTCAGCACCCTGGAGAGCTACTTACGCCCCGCAGTCAGCGCCTCTGAAGGCTCCCGAGTGGCTCCACACTCCTGAAGAAACCACGAAGATCCAGCCGTGGAAGTCATGTCGACGTGTGTGTTAATTGGTTTTTATAAGAAAAGTAAAAAAACAAAACAAAAACAAAAAAATAATCCCAGGGGAGTTCACCGGGGAATTTGTTTTCATCTATTTAAAACCGGTATTTTTCTTTTTTTCTCCTCCTCCTCTTCTTCTTCTTGTATTTTTATCTTCGTGGTCCGCGGCAGCCAGAGGCCCATTCACGTACATCCATCTAAAGCGACCTGCGGCCAAAATGTAGGTGTTACTCACTAATCCATTTCAGTCAGGAGTGTAATATAAGAGGATTGACACCGGGCCTTACTCCACACTAAAAGCCTTGTTGTCACACAGACCAAACAGGGTCAATTCCCACCAGTGAACGAGCTTCTCTGAAAAAACTAAATAAAAAAAAAATTAATAATCTACAGCGTCACACTATCATAAAGAAAAACAACAAAGTGACATAATAAAATGGCAAAAAACATCAACAACAACAAAAAAACAAAAACAAAAACAAAACAAAACTCCAACTAAATATTGAGAGATTTAAAATGACCAGCTCGGAGACACCTGAACCATCAACCGTGCACCGCACGGAGGCACCGCGCTTTAATTGGCCTAACGCCCAGAGTACAGGTCTGTGAGATTAAATGAATTTGAGCTCTGCTGGAGTGGGAGTCATTAAAGATAACGAAGGGCTCTCCCTGCGGGTCTCCTGAGTTCTGTTGTGTTTTGCCTGCGTCAGTCTTCTCAGCTCTTTTTTTTTTTAAAATGACTCCACTGCCTGCCTTGACAATCGACTCCAGGAACCGCTGGTTGCCACAACATCAACACTTTGATGACACAATAAGGCCTGGATGGATGATGGATGTTGGATGATGGATGATGGATGATGGAGTAAACAGAACCGAAGTTCAACTTCTATGAACGCACAGTAACGTGAACCCCCCTCTGCGCCCCCCATCTCTCTCGTTCTGTGTGCGCGTGCACGTGGAGGAGACATCTTGAGACAGACACCTGTCTGTCTTCCGTCCTCTCTCTTCGTCCTTATGTTTGTCTCTTCCACACATTGACTTCAGTTCTCTACAAACGTCGTCTTTTATTTTTACTTTTTGTTTTTAAACCTTCCCTCAAAGCAATTCTCTATATTATGTTAATGTTAGATTTCATCACACAGACACTTATAGGGGAAAACGATTCCACCTTTGTTGACCCATATCCTGCATAAGCTCATGAGCCTCTTAAACGTAACACCTTGACGCTGCTGTGCTGCATCCAGGAATAGGGAACAGAAATGACAACTCAGCGCAACGGTCGTCCAGAACACAGAACACAGAACACAGAACACAGAACACAGAACACAGAACACAGAACACAGAACACAGAACACAGGAACCACAGAACACAGAACACAGAACACAGAACACAGAACACAGAACACAGAACACAGAACACAGAACACGGAACACGCCGCTGCTTCACAGACGAGTTATATATATATATGTGATAGATGAGATGTCTTTTAGACAGAAATATATACATATTATATATATATAATATTGTAGTGATAGACGAAGACGATGTCTTTTAGACAGAAATATATACATATGAAGTAACAGAAGGAACCTCCGCTCCGTCTCCATCAGTTTAGAAAATAAATGATAGAAACAGAAGGAACCTCCGCTCCGTCTACATCAGTTTAGAAAATAAATGATAGAAAAAAATATTATTATTACCATCATCATTAATAATAATAATAATAATAATAATAATAATAATAACATCTGTAAGAAGTCGTTGTAACTCGTTATATTGTTGATTTATTTAAGTTTTAGTGAAGCGGCGATTATTTATATATTTTGTTGCTATTTTATACCTATATTTCACAGAAATATGAGTAAACTTCATGTTAAAATAATTATAATTATGTCTTCATTATTAAAGCTGGGGCAACTGAGGTGACAAACACAATTAAAAGTCTAACGTCTTCAAATGGAGCTTCACCGCATCGAATAATTTTAATAGCTCTGGTGCCACCTAGTGGTAATAATTCGCACTTCGTGGCATTAAAGAAAGTACAGTGAAGTTATTGACTGCCGTGGATGATGATTGTGTGACGTACAACTGTAGTTCAACTGGACAACTGACACAGTTTAACCTGGTTAAACTAGTTACGACATGAAGTTAAAGTTAAAGTTAAAAATACAACGAAGAAAACTCCACAACAAACGCACTGATGGAGACTAGAAAAACTAAATTATAACACCATAACAAACATAGAAAAACTAAATTATAACAAAAAAGAAAAAAAAAAAACAACTCACGACACATGTTCAGCTGTTTGACACAACAAATATCAATCCTGGGTTTTTTTCTTCCAGCTTTAGGTCAGATCAGGAGTGTCAAAAGTCAAATTCACAAAACTGGGATAAAGTCGCGGCCAAACTCAATTTTTCATTGAAGAAAATGACTGTAATTGTCCCCGTTTTCCCTTTCTCTCCAGATCTGTAATGTAGAATTTTTTTTTATTTATTTTTTCATATGGAAACAAACTGTAGTTTTGCATAGACGTAGAATCTGGAACAACCAAAAGATTAATATTATTTAAAAAAACAAAACAGGAGAAATTAAATTAGATATAAAACACAGATCAGTGGCATTGGTGTCTAATTTATCTTATCTTTACAGCCTTGGTGGAGATTCCAGGACTGTTTAGGTGAGTGCGTGTGTGTGTTTAAAAAATAGGAAGAGAAAGAGAGAGAGAGAGAGAGAGAGAGAGAGACAACAATGATAACCTCATTTAAACCATGTCTGGTATTGTATAGGTTCTTTTGAGTGTGTGTGTGTGTGTGTACTGTATGGGTGGAGGCCGTCCTGTTCACATGAGTTGAAACAATGGCGATGGCAGCAGCAGCAGCAGCAGCAGCAGCAGCAGCAAAACAAACAAACAAACAAAAACAAACGATTGAAATGAAGTAAAACTGGGTGTAAAATAAACAACATCGTTACTCAACAGGTCTCTGTCTTCACAGGCAACAACAGGAAACCCGCGGTTTTATCAACAGTTTCATCGCAATATGAACTGCAGGCCAAAAATGAAACAAACCACCGCCTGCTTGCGCAACACACTTCTTTTTCGTGTGGGTTTGTTTGCGGCGGTCGCCACTGGAGTGCGCTACTGAGTCCGCACACACAGAGCACGGAAGTTACCCGTGTGAGCCTTCACGAAATAAGAGCACGGCATTGGTTCTGTTGTGAAAACGGATCGAAGAGAAACGAGTGAAGGCGAACGGGGAGGAAACTACGAAAAAAATGTGATATGAGTAGAATATTACAGTTAATTAAACTTGTTATGTTAAGGTACTACAGTTTAGAGTCCAGAGCTCAACTTTTTAAAAGACATGGACTGAAAACCCAACGCGAATAATATAAATCAAATACGTTTCTAAAAATGTTGACTAATAATAAACACTATAAATTCAAAACCGCTGTTTCGACTTCAAAACTCATTGTGAACTGATAAATGTTAATAAACACTATAAATGTAAAACAACTGTTTCGACTTCAAAACTCATTGTGAACCTTACTTTGAATACTACTGTTCAGTAAGTACTGAAAGTTTACTTTAAAGACGAGGTAGATCCGAAAACTTTTGTCTTTCTTTAGCTCACAGGGTTTGGGCTTTTATTTTGAAACCCCCCGCACAGGAAGTACTTCTATTTTGCCACCCGGCTCACTTGGCGGAGATTGAACGATTCCAATTCGTCAGGCAGGAGTTTATGAGATGGGAACAGACGAGTGTGTCCCAGAGTTTCCAGCTGCTGGCGGTTTGTTGCGGCGCAGCAGAGTCGGGCAGGAATCGGCGGAGCTCATGTAGAGCCGCAGCGGCAGCCGGGGGGGAAGCACCGGGGGCACAGCAGCGCTGCGGGGGTCTGGAAGTAAAAACATGGGAGCGGTGAAGTGAAAAGAAGAAGAAGAAGAAGAAAAAAAAACAATCAAAAACGAGCGAAAGAAGACTTTCTTGACGAAAGGCTCTAAAAGTGAGGTAACTCCATTTTATGTTGATTCTCTACAAAAGTTCGCTAAGATGCGCGAGTTCAACTTAAAGCGAACGTTTCTTGCGTGTTGGACCGGACACCCCCGCGTGTTAGGGGTTCAGTCTGGGACCCAGGTCTTCAGATCGGGTTTCGCGTTTTCTGTGTGTGTTTGAGAAAACGCCCCTACTGTCCGAGCCTGAGAGTGACCACACTGTGTGGACGTGTGTGTGCGTGCGTGCGTGTGTGTGTGTGTGTCACAAACTCAGAGAGAGTTTGAAAACTTTCTCTTCTGACGGAACGTTAGACTCGTGAAGCTGTGATTGACAGCGGAAAGAGGCGGGGTCCGATATCGATCGTTATCGTCGATGGTGCGATTGTTGTGGAAGAAGAAGAAGAAGAAGAAGAAGAAGAAGAAGAAGTTTTCTCTGCTCTGCTCTGCCACGTACAGCTGCGTGGAAATCTGATCTGCAGTGGTGCCCATGCACAGACCTGGAACACCCGCCCCCTCCGTTGTCTTCGCTGGTCATGGCACGGTGTGGCTCAAGCTGTGGTTCCGTCGGTCTTCAGGGAATAAAACAAATGGTCAGGTTTCGGTTCTGTCTTTCTGTCAGTTGATTTACAGTTGATTGCATCAACATAAAAACAATAGTTTTACTCGATGAAACTTTGTTTTTGTAAACTTTAAACGTACGTGTTTTTTTTTTTTTTAGTTTGACATTTTCTGTTGTTTAACACCGATCAATCAAACGATCGAATCAGGAAAAAGAAATTGAGAGATTGAGGAAAATGTGTCTTATTTCATCGACAATTTGTTATGACTTAATAATGACAAATTTGACATTTTTGGGGTGTGCAGGCCTGCCCTCTGCTGGGAGAGTGAAGCAATTGATAAAAGCATTTAATGAATATGCAAAATGTGAGAAACTTCACATTCGACCCGAGCCGTTTCATTCACAGACATCGGTGAATTTAAGTTGAATCTGCTTCAACGCTGTAACATTTTTTTTATCTGTTTCTGCTGATTACGGTTGCTGTGATAGGACGCCTTTCTTTGATCGAAAGCTGGAACGACCAACCACAGCCCGTCCGTATCAAACATCAGTAAAGTGCATCTGTTTCAGGAAGTCTTTATCGGAGCTCATTTCCTTTTTTACTGTCTATAAATGTCAACGTTTATTACCAAACAGGAAAACATGAAATTGTCATGTGAACCAAGTTACAACTTATTCTTGGTGGTAAAAAATTTGTCCTGCAACAAAGTTTTGATCAACAGTTTCCAGTAAAATCCTTAGATACTTTGTTAGTGCGATTCTTCAACAAACTGTCAGATCAAAAAGTGCTGATACACTTTTTATTTTTATTTTTTTTGTACCTCTGTGCTGACCTCAGCTGTAGTTTTAAAGCTCGTCATTTTTGACAATCCCATCAGATAAACTGTTCTTCCACAATCCTTCGATCTGCTCATCAGCTGACTCTGCTCAGAGGTCAGCTGCAGCTGGAATTCCTTTGTACAATGTCAACAAAGGCATTCTGATAAGTGCTATCTCCTCTGATTGAAAGTTAAACGGGTCTGGACTTATTGACTTGGCTAACTGTCGATAGATAAGACAGTAAAAGAACATAAAAAACAGGAAGTGGAAAGAGTTCCACTGGAGAACACTGTTGTTGTCTGTGGAACCAGTTCTTCCCACGTTCTGTTCCAACACCTGAACGTCTCTCAGCCTACGTAGGGACCTGACGTCTGGGTTTGATAGTGGATCACAACCAACCGTTTTAAGGTGCATGCTGCCACCTACTGTACTGGAATGTGTAGTGTCATGGTTTGACCGGTTAATTTTTGAGAAAAACGCAGCCTACTCCTTATATTCATATTTTGTTTCAACCGATGCAAATTCTAACAGATTTGTATCGATTTTTTAAAATTTATTATTTCGATGCAAATTCTAACGGATTTGTATCGATTTTTTAAAATTTATTCACGATGCATCATCGATACATTTTACTTCAGTGCGAGAGTGGACTTTCAGAAACTTACAGAAAGTTCTAGGCCTTTCCGTATCTCCAACAGCAGTCAGTTTAGTAATATTTGTTTTGCAAATTATTTAAAAACATCACTCTTTTCTCTCAACAACTTGGCCTTTATTTAGCAACACGGTGTGGCTAGCAAAAGCACAACACCGCTGCGACACTTCCTACTGTAAAAGAACGCACTCGTTCTGAGCTGTGAGTAAACACAAACAGGATTCGTAAAGAAGGCCTGAGTCCTGGTGCTCATATACAACCATCTGAGTGTGAGAGGGATTATACTTTTCACTCTCCGTGTTCACAGCAGGGCGTTTGTGGTTTTTCCTGCGCACACAACACGTGCGTACTCATGTTCCCGCAGTCCTGGTTTTATAAAAAAGGACCTTTACTCTATTTGTATAACGCCAGTGTTATTTGAATAATGTGTATAAGGTGGGGCACGGACAGCCCAGGCAGGAGTCTATTGTTGTTGCTCTTCCTATCGTTGTCACTGTTTGGGAGTTAGCAGTGCGACACCGGTGAGGGTTGTTGTTCAGTGTCTCCGCGGTGACTGAATCAGTCATAACTGGGTCTGAGGATACCCGTCGTGGGCGGATGATGAAATCACCTCACATGTACCCCAGTGGACGTCTGACTGGGCGTTAGAAGAGAGTGCGATTCCTTCCAAACTTCACCGGTGAGGATTTGTAATGATTTTGAATTAATAATCACACCGGCCATGACGTAGCCGAGCCGACGTTTATCTGCGACGAAGATTTAGCTGAACTTCCTACTTCACTTCTTAGACATAAATAGAACATGTCTGTTACACGTCGACCACTATCATATGGTCACAGACAGAACGGATTAGTCCAGTCAGCGACACACACTTCCCTCTGTGCGGGTCTGTTTAGTTTACAATAAGGTCTCCTTTGAAGTTGCGCAATAGGTCAAGACCAGGATGTGCCTAACATTTACAAATGGTTCAACTTGTTATGTCCGTAAAGTTTACCTACAGGCTTAGGTTTGTGTCATTTGTATTTGATGAGGGGTTTTGTCGACGTTTATTAAAATATGGATTGTGTCCATTATTAAATAGTGATTTCATTTAGAGGAAAAAAGATGCTAAAGCACTTTGCGTGACTGACGGCTACACTGTCCAATAAGACAGTGTAACGGAGGCGTCAGTGAAATTCCCATTTTTAGTTGGGAAGTATCAAGTGAAAAATGTATTTTCCAAAGACCCAAATTTTGTGAATTTTTCTGCTGATCCTGCGTAGCCTTCCTGTGGAACACTGTCTTGGATCGGTCCCCCGCCTCTGGAGCATCTGATTAATTCGCTGCCTTCTTCTCCTCCGTGTCACGCTTTCATTGGGTTTAAAATGGATTTGCGTGGCGTCGTCTTTTAATTACGGCACCTACAGACTTCAGTGTCAGGAATTAATTAGTTCAGAGTGGTCACGGAGGAGTATCGGACGATCTGAGGGTCGGAGGGAGATAACGACGTAAACAAGTGCTGCGGAATCAGAGACGGCGTCTGATTCTGTGACCTGTTTTTTTTTACATGAATTTGTATGCGTTCCTAATGACTGCACGAAACAAACACACAGAAAAAACACCTTGGATTTGAAAAAAATGTGTTCATTCGGCAGCAGAAATCGTCAACTGTTTTTTGATGTTATGTAATTTTAAAGAGCATGAAAGAAAAACCCTTCACAACATCGTACAACCGTATAATTATTAATATGTAGATAAGATTTGACTCATGAGAAAATTTGGTCAAAAAAATTTTACAAGTAAATTATCATGAATAATTATGACTTTATTATGTTTGGTTAGTCAACTTTGAACAGTCGGTCTCACTTTAAAACGTTGTATAACTTTTGATGACCAGACATGAAATCAGTGTTTGTTTGATCACAGGCTGTGTGAATCCACGTCCTGTCTCATGTGGTTACCTTCAGGATGCTTCCTAATCCCGGGTGTAAACAGTCGCACTTAATACTTAGCGTGTGTGGTTAGATCAGTCAGGACGGCCGTGGATTTTTACTCGTCACCGACAGCGAGCTTCAGACTTTTAAACTTCTTGGAACGTGTCTCTTGTTGTGGAAAGAAACAAACAACAAACACAACAGGAGAAGCTGTTGCCCTTCACTTGGCAGGAGGAGAAAGTTGTTACCCCCGCCCCCAAGCTGAAAAAATGAAAATGAAAATCATCAAAGGATCATAGGTTTCCTGAAGGTTTGAATGAAGATCAATGGTGATAAAGAAATGCAATTTTTTTCGGTTGATGAGGTTCACAGACCTTTATTTATTATTATATAGTCCTATAATCACGCACTGTTACATCTGGGTTTTCCTTTGCGGTCGAGCTGCAGACATTTGATTGGTCGGTCGATGAATGAACTTGACTTGATTAAAGGAAAGTGTCAATTGTCCTGACAACTTCCTAGAAAACATAAAAGGTGAAAAACAAGCCTGTGAAAGTGACACGATGTTGTGGTGTCGTTTCT